AAGCTATAAGCATTTAACTAACTATAAAAATATACAAAATTATCCAAACCATTCTGATATTTTTCCTAAGCTTCTCTAACCATAGGAAACCTGCTAAAATTTATCCCATAGTTTTTCAAGTGGTATTTTAATTTATATAATTAATTTAATCCAAAATAGCCATCTAAGCTTGAAAATTAGGGTTACATGCAAATAAATGTTCTCTGGCCTTGGAAAAATCAGAGAACATCCCCTCTGTCATAGGGAATGAACCCCCAAAGTTTCAAGCTATGGTGGATAAGATTTAACAATTAAAATTAAAATACCTAAGAGGTTGCTTAATTAATTAAAAATGAGAGACTCATCAAATAATTTTTATTTTTGTCCAAATTATTCTCCTATGTTCACTGAGTAATATGGTATTTTTATTTTATCTTTATGATTTTTCTATGCAAAGATATGAATTTTTGAAGTTCTGGAATTAAATAAAATCATTTTAAAAAACATTTCCTACTTATCCACGTCAACCTAATTGCACGCGCGTCTTCTTCTGATTGGGCACTGCCAGCTGAGTCAGCCCACTGTTCACGCACCAAGAGTTTGTTCGACGCCATCTGGTTCATCCATCTGATACACGCTTGATCAGACAGTCATCATCGTCCCTGATTAGCCAAACTCGTAAGCCGTCCAACTTCTAGACATAAGATCTCACTCGATACTCAACCAAATCAAGTGTGTTTTGTTTCTACATCTTCATCTACTCAAAATGAACACATCTATACAGTTACAATGCTATAAAATTAAGCTTCTCTTCACAATTGGTGAAACTGAGCTCAAAATTATGGTTAATGGTCTATACCTTAGCCCAAGAGGTGAGGCCTCAATTGGGTGCTTGTGGAAGCCTCCTTGTGAGCCAGCAAACCTACTCCAAGTGTCTATTTGAGCTGAAATAGGGTCTAGGTAAGAGTTCAATGAAAAGGTGGAACGGCCTTGGTGTAGGAGTGGGTTAGAGAGCTCAACAGAGGGGGATTTTGATGAGGAACTTCCTCTCTTGGATTGAGGAAGTTTTTGAAGGTTTAATTGGATGCTTGGTGGGGTTTTGTGGAATGAAAAAAAATGCACTGGATTTTAAACTCAAAATTGAGCTCTCACAGAGGAATTCAGATGGGGGAAAATGGTGGGCTTAATCTTAGAAGTCCTTGAAGAGTCTCTAGAAACAATTGGACAAAGTCTCCCTAAGGAAATTGATTAGCTCTTTCTTTTGGTCGTAGAAGAGGGAGTTTAAATAGCCATGTAAAGGGTGGTGCTCAGGGCTTCAATTCGGGTTCTCTTAGTAGCTTATGTCGAGGGTTGAAGAATGACAAAGACCAATTGGGATGAGCCAGCTTGGATGGGTGAATTAGAGTGCATTTGGATGAGAGGACTCTCTTGGTTTGGGGTTTTCCAGCCACTAGGCCGGCCAGCAGGGCCAGGGGTGGTGGCTAGAGGAGTCAGAGGAGCCAGGAGAGGGTTAATGATGATTAACCCTCAATGGTTAAGGCTGATGGCAAGTGTATCTTGGATTAAGATAAATATGGTAGGAGATCCCATAAATCAAGGGACCACTGGTCCATAGCTTATATAGGGTGGGCTAGGTGGGTCTAGCCTGGTCATTAGGATCCAAAGGGTGTCTGTGGTGGCTTTGGCTTGATCAATTTGGCTAGGTTTGGTTACATGCATGGCTTGGGTTCAAAATCATGTCATGGGCTTGGATTTAAGTTTGGGTTTGGCTAGACTTTGAATTTGGTTTAATTGATTGATCAAGTTAGCTTGAATAATTGTCATAAGGAATTTGGAAAAGGGATTGAGTGATTTTGAAATGATTTGAAAAGTCAATTTGGGGAAATTTGGTTCACGGTCAGCTTTGGGTATTTAGGTTTGACTTGGGCTTGAATTGGGCTAGGCTTTGTATATGATTCAATTGATGGTTCAATTTAATCTAAAAGATTGACATGAAGGATTTTTTACATCAATTGGGTGGAAATTTTGGAGTTATAAAGTTCAATTTGGGAGATTTGGGCTTAAGTGCAAATTTGGGGACTTTGGCTCAAGTTGATTTTGGGTGAGCTTTTAGTTCAAATTTGGGTCAATTGATTGTGTTATGAAGAAATTGGAATTCAAATTTGGGGAAATTGATTTGATCATGAAATTCAATTTGGGGAATTTAAGGGTTTGGCTAAAATTGGGGATTTTAGATTGAGCTTGAAATTTGTTTTGCAATTAGGTTCAATTGGACTTGGATTTGATTTCAATTGGGATTGGGGATGATGAGTTTGACTTTGGAATTGAAATTGGGGGAGATTGCAATCAATTTGGTGGAAATTGAGAGTGAGTTGAAGAATTTGGACCCTTGATGGCAATTTGGGGATTTTGGTCAAATAAGGGCAAATTGAGTGGTTCAATTTAATTTTGGGGATATTTGGAGTGATTCTAGAGATTTTGGAAATATTTTAGACATGAAGGGCATTTTTGTAATTTTGGGGATTCGGGGGGAAATTTAGGAATTTGGTGAAATTTGGGGCCAAAGAGGGTCAAAATTGGAATTTGATAAGGTTGGGATTAATTGAGAATGTTAATCATGAGGTCACCCTATTTGAGCCATAGAACCAAAGATATTCCCATTTTGGATCTTCCATGTGTTGATCTTAGCCAAACTCTAGCTCGGGGCTAATGGTTTAGGGACCATTCACTTGAGTTTCCAATAGATTAGGGGATCAAGCTAGGCATGTTAGGGATAGGATTGAGGTTGTGAGTGTAAGTGCAAGTGTGTGTGTGCGGAACTAACCAAGGCCTAACTACCCAAGGTTAACCCTAAGGCCAAACAATCCTATGGGGATTCCTCTTAAGCTCTCACATATTGGTTCCACCTACTAAGTGCTAAATATTAGAAACAACATGTGGAACTTCAAGATGAGCAAAGAAGAGTTTAGAATTTCTATTGGTGAGAGTATCATCACCAGTCCTCTAGGAATAGTCAATAGAAAAGTCCTATGGCTAAACCCTAGGCTACTAAAGAGGAAATTAGACCTCAACCAAAAACGAGGTCAACATACGAACTACCGTCTTTGTGGTCAACTACTTTTGTAGCTTCTGACTTGTGCCCCTTTGGATTTTAAACGTCGTCACAATTCATTAATATGGCCAACGTGACCAATTACAATCTATGTGGCTTATAACATGCTTTACTCCCGACTCCTGCCCCAACGACTTATGAATGTCTTCCTAGCTCAACACTTCGGCCTATGTGACTAACTACGGCCTACGTGATCTACAACTTGTGCATCACCTGACTTTGACCCTTGCAACCTACAAAAAACACCACAACTGACCAATATGGCCTACATGACCAACTACAGTCTATGTGATTAATAGCTTGTGGAGCTCCAGACTCTGGCTCTTGTAACCTACAGACTTCATAACATCTCAACACTATAACATATATGATCAACCACAGCCTATGTGGTTTACAGCTTGTGCAGCTCTTGACTCCAACCCCTATGGCCTACGGACGTCATCACACTTTACCACTATAACTAAGTAACCAACTCTGTCCCACATGACTTATAACGCGTATAGCTCTCGATCTGGCTTCTGCGACCTATGGATATCATCCCAACTCACTATTGCAGCCTATGTGACAAGTATGACCAACATGGTCTACATCTGATGCAACTCCCAACCCTGACCTCTGTGACGTACAGAAGTCATCACATCTCACAACTACGATCTATGTGACAAACTCTGACAGACATGCCTAACAGCTCTTACAACTTTCTGCTATAGTCCCGTTGCCGACCAACACTTCTAAAGCAACCATCTGCAGCCCACACGACTAACTACTATCATGACTTTCAACTAAGTCTTATACATCAAGTTGAGGAAAACAATACTTGTCCACAGCCTTCACAATGTACTAATAACCATCCACTTCTCACCCTTGCAGCTCATTATCACCGAGAACTATATTCATTATCCACTATTGTATTTTTACAATGACCATCTTTGTAAATCCACCTCATAATTCAAGAGATGAGTGAATTGGGTCTTCACAATTCATAATAGATTATTTTAACTGAGATAGATCATATGATTTTCTTCACTTTTCAATTGTTTCAACGTATAATAAAGGTGTCTCTTCCTACTTCTCTTTAATTATCTGAGCGTGTGTTGGAGTCTCGTACAATGCTAATACGCTAAATAATCACTATATCACCATGAAACTTCCCCCACATCGATGAATATGAATGCATGTTAAAGGAGTAGAAGTAAGTTTCATAAGAAACATGAATCTTATGTGATTTTCATTTTGAACTCTTTTATTTTCTTTGTTGTGTTCTCTACCCTTTTCATGCTTTAACAAACAAGTCTTTTATCTACTATATCACTTGTATATCGTTCATTAATTCTTGTATTATGAGAGACTATAATTGAAAAAGTTTTCATAAGACAAAGTTGGAATGATGCTGGTACATTAGAGGAAGATCTCTATATACTATTTTAGTATAATGATGCTATTCGCGTTAATTACGGCTTAAGAATGAAACTACACTGATAGACAAGGGATGTCAAAAAATTTTGAGTGCATAAGCTCAACAAACTAAGTGATATGTTAGACAAAAAAATTAGATAATTAAGATTAAAATGTATATAAATCCTCCCAAATTTTTAATTTCAGGAAGCCTAAAGACAATTAGTGGAAAAAAAAAAAGATTATAAATCCTCCCAAATTTTTAATTTCAGGAAGCCTGAAGACAATTAGTGGAAAAAAAAAAAAAAAGCAAACTTCCTAAAATTAGGCTTTTTAACAACCCATCGTGCGGCCCCCACGCGCTTCAATTATACCTCGTGGCATCTATAGCTTAGCCCACAGCTATAGGCCCGTTAGACATCCAAATTCAGGCCGAAAAAGTCTTCAATTTCCCCCAATAAATCTTCTCCTATCAACAATTGGACGCTGTTTCTGTAATTTAATAAAAAATAAGGGGCTATAAAATTAAAATTCTGAAACCAAGTTCACCGGCGACCTGGTCCCTGTTTTGCCAATTCAACGAGATATGAAATAAATCAAAGGAAGGAAAGAAGCAATTACCTGCAGTGTTTGACTCCCTCTCCCCGCAAATCTCTTCATAAGTTCCATAATCTTCCCTTTGATTACTCAAAACTAAGCTTCTCCTCCCTTCTTTACCGTCAGTTTCTTGATTTCTTTCACTAATTCATGGGCCAAGAAGTGCTCGGCGACGTCTCCCTGCTCGCCGACGGTGATCCCATGTCTGCCAATCTCCAGAAAGACAAAGACAAGGATACCAGCGCCGGAGATTCGCCACCAAACGGGGAGTTACGTGTGAAGAATCATACCGATGAGGCAGGGGATATGGAGCCGAGTCTTGAAACTGTCCTCCGTCCGCCTTCTCATTTCCCTCAGCCGGAGGCGCCGGCAGGGCTGATGAAGTCCCCCTCGACTGGCGGCGAAAACTACCTTCCCATCAATCGATCGATGTCATTAACCTCTTCGACGGCCATGGACATGGCGTCTCTGGGAAAGTTTATCCGAGACAGGGGAAATAGTTTCTCTGCGGCGATCGTTAAGCGGATCTCGTCCCTAAAGGAAGGGGATGATATGGCAAAATCTGTGACGGAGTTCCATCTCTCCGGCCTTAAGGTCACCGTGCGCCTCAAAGATGAGGACGACGACGGGGATTATGGTGATATTAAGGGTCGAATCAGCTTCTTCTCTCGCTCGGGATGCCGAGACTGCGGTGCGGTTAGGTCGTTCTTCCGCTCGAAGGGGTTACCCTTCGTAGAAATCAACGTGGATGTGTTCACAGAAAGGGAGAAGGAGCTGGTTGATCGGACAGGTGGTCTCGCAGTTCCGGCGATCTTTTTCAACGAGAGGCTCGTCGGCGGATTGGTGGCGCTGAATTCTCTTAGAAATAGCGGAGAGTTCGAGCGGAGGATGAGGGAGATGGCAGGGAAAAGGTGTCCTGAGAGCGCACCTAGGGTTCCGGTTTACGGATTCGATGACGAGGACGAGGCGAAGGAACGGCGAGAGGATGCCATGGTAGGGGTGATTCGGGTTTTGCGGCAGCGTTTGCCGATTCAGGATCGGATCGCGAAGATGAAGCTCATCAAGAACTGCTTCGGCGGAGCCGATATGGTCGAGGTCATTACCAGCCATCTCGATTGCGGCCGGCAGAAGGTACGGTTCTCCCGACAGTCGTTTGCTACTAACCGTTTGATTTAAATTGCACGGTTATTATTTCTGAATTTGCTTTTTTGTTTTTTGTTAAGTATTTTTCAAAAAATCGAACCGTTTGTTTAAGTCGATAAGAAAAAAAATCGATAAGAAAAAAAAACAATTAGTTGCAAGTAGGATATAAGTTTGATTAGGATTTATTAAATTCTATGATGAAAATTTGAAGGTATTTATTTCTGTAAGTTAGCAATTAAATTCTAATAAATCAGTTAAAACTGTTTGGTAATGTTAATAGGATTTTATAAGATTTACTAAATTCCATAAGTATCAGCTTGGTGTTTGGCAGCATTAAGGATTTAGTTTTAGCAAGACTTTATAAATTTAAACTTATATGAAATCCATATTTAACATCAATCATACACAAATTTCAGTCCTTAAAGTCCGAAATTTCATAAATCCATAAAACTTATATTTTTTTATGTTTGGGTGGACTTAATAAATTTCGGCCATAACTACGAAACACCCTCTAAATTTCGTAAATCCTGCTTGTTAGGATTTGATAAATCCCAAGTTTAAGACAAAATGGAGGAAAAATGTGGTTTAAGAATATGTAAGATTTAAAAGTTCTTAAAATCATCTACCAAATAGACTCTAAATTTTTGTTATGATGATAAGTCCTAAAATGATTAATATTGTATAAATTATAATTCATCACTAATAAATTAATTAGGAGTAAATTTGATTTGTCCTATTTAGACCATAATTCAGAAGATCAAACCGAACCGATCGATTTGTGTGAAATGAACTTTGATCTGAAAATTAAATTACTATATCTCAGATAAATGTATAAAATTTGTTACCTTCATATCATAATTTATATTTTTGAATTATATTCATTCAAAATATAGACATCAAAATCTAAATTATGATGAAAGATGATAAAAATTTCGCATATTATAATAATTTTTATAATTTATTTAATTTAATATGCTATAAATAGCTCGCATATTATATACTTTTAACATATGTATAAAAGATGATGTAGACTTACGCAGGTCTTAATGTATAGAAAAATTATTATGTACTTTTGTTAATTCCTTGAAACCCTTTAGAACCAAAGTGAATTTGATTTTTTGTTTTTTTTTTTTTTTTTTGGTTTGTTGAAGTGGAGGAATGCTAAAGGTGTATTGTATGATAGAAAAGTAACACATAGACTGAAAGATAAATTTTATAAGATGATGGTAAGATCCGCAATGCTCTATGTCGTTGAATGTTGGCCTTCAAAAGAGAAGGATAATACTGTTATGTATTGCCGAAATGAGAATGTTTATCTAGATGAGCGGATTTACACCCTAAACAGTAAGAGACATAATGTGAAAGAAATATATTCGTGATAGGGTTGGTGTAACTAGTGGCGGACAAAATTAGAAAAAGGCGTGTTAGATGATGAAATATATTCGTGATAGGGTTGGTGTAACTAGTGGCAGACAAAATTAGAAAAAGGCGTGTTAGATGATTTGGTCACATTAAATGTCGATCATCTGATGATTTGATTGAAAGAGTAGTTGTTTTAAATCTGACATATGTTAAGAAAAGCAGAAGTAGACTAGAAATACTTTGGCATATTGTATAAAAAATGATCTTAATTTATTAGAATTAAAAGAAAATACGACACTCAAAAGACGCAATGGAGAAAACAAGTTTATGACGCCGACCCCACTTAGTGGGATAAAGACTTGTTATTGTTGTTGTAATTTATTTGTAATTTGTAAGCCGTAACGATTTTTGGGCGCTTAATATATAAATTTGAATTATCTTGCAATATAATATCCATAAGAGTTTCTTAAGTATCAGGCTTAGTTGGTACATTTATTGGTTGTCTTGTATAATACATCATGAACGAATAAACATCCCTAGCTAAAATGCAGCCTAAGCATAAATTTCTCATCTTTTATCAAGCTTGTACCTTTTTTTCTCTAAATCACGTTACAGGTTTGGCAGTTAGCACTGCAGTTTTTAAAAGTCAATGAGCGGACATTGGCTGACAAATGGAGCCATCCTGATGGTATTTGGTTAAGCTGTTTCAGACTACCCAACGGAATTAGTTTGCGACACGTAGGAATGCTGTTCAAAAATTTTCCAATTACATTAAAAATTTTTAAAATGACAAATTGATATATTGTTCAAAATACAGTAATATGTTTTCTTTTTGTTATAAAATTAGCCATTTTTATGTATTATATTTCTGGAATTCATAATTTCCCCTGATTCCGTATAGGCGGTAGAAATCGGAGAAGAACTAGCGAGGAAGCACTTCATACACCATGCCTTCCGGTAAAATTTCCTTCTCCTTAACCGGCCCATCAATCAATCATCCTCTTTTCTTTCAAAAGCTCATTCTTCTCCATCTTCCCTTCCCTGCCTGCAGAGATAACGAGTTCGAAGACAGTAACAGCCAGTTCTACCGCTTCCTTGAGCACGACCCATCCATCCCTAAATGCTTCAACTTCCGGATCACAACCAACGACGACGAACCCAAACCAGCCCTCGTTGTCAGCCACCGCCTCACCAAACTCATGTCCGCCATCCTCGAAGCATACGCCTCCGAAGACCAAAGCCGCCTCGACTACATTCGCATTGGTTCCAGCGAGGAGTTTCGCAGATACACGAATGTTGCGCAGGACCTGCAGCGTGTGGACGTCTTCAGCCTTTCTACGGAGGAAAGAACAGCCTTCTTCCTCAACCTTTACAACGCAATGGTCATCCACGCCAAAATAAGAATCGGCCGCCCGGGAACTATGGATCGGAGATCTTTCTTCAATGACTTCCTGTATATTGTCGGCGGATACCCATACTCACTTTCGATGATTAAGGACGGCATTCTTCGATCAAATCGCAGGCCTCCCTACTCATTTGTTAGGCCTCTTAGCTCCTCCGACCGGCGCTTGGAGCTTGTGCTTCCCAAGGTGAATCCTTTGATACATTTTGGACTCTGTAACGGGGCGCGGTCGAGTCCGAGGGTCCGTTTCTTCTCGGCCGAAGGGGTGGAAGTTGAGTTACGGCATGCTGCCAGGGAGTTCTTCTCAGGCGGAGGAATGGAGGTGGATCTCGAAAAGAGAGTCGTTCATCTCACCAGAATCATCAAGTGGTATGATTTCAACTTTTGGCGGATTGCAAATTAGTTTGGATTTATATTTTTCTCGTTATATACTCTTCAACAGGAGAAATATTTTGGTAACCTCTAAATAACCTTTGCAAAAGTTTTTGGTGGGTTAATGCAGAGTTATTTCGGTATTATTAATAGTCAATGTCCTAACACCAGAGTAAATAAATGTGAAAATGCAGATGGTATTGACTGTAAATAACACCGAAATAACTTTGTAATAACCTTCCAATAATCTTCGTAGAGGTTATTGAGAAGTTATTGGGAGGGGATTACTCACGGAGAGCTGCGTGCATTCTCCGTGCGTGAATATTTCTCCTTCAACAGACTTGTAAAATACACAAGGAATTTTATCTTATGGTAAACGATTGAACAAAAGAATGCTGCCAGTGTTGGTTTCAATATTATTGTGCCTTTACTAATAAATGCCTATAATTGCAGGTACTGTGCAGATTTTGGACAGGACAAGGACATTCTGAATTGGCTTCTGGGCTACCTTGACGCAAACAAAACCGGGCTTTTAACACATCTCCTGAACGATGGAGGCCCGGTGAACATTGTCTATCAAAATTTTGATTGGTCCATGAACTCTTAAATTCCCAGCACGATTTTATGGTTCAAACAAGGTAAATTTAAGAAATTCAATATAGTTGTGAAACAAGAGTTTATAACGCAACGAGGTATTACCATATTTACTGCATCGTCTTGAAGTAAGATTTAGGAAGCGTTCACAAACTACAGGTAAAGTGGATATAATGTGATGCTTATAGAATTACGTCTAGTCTTCTATGAGGAGTGGTTAAGGAGATGATTCTATTTTTCTTCTTTTCTCCCTGGAAATATCAGTCTGCTGTCGATTGTGCATCTTGTTCTTTGTGATAACATGGACAAAGATGTTTTAAGGGAGTGTTTTTGTATGGCCTAACTAATAATAATATGTTTTTTTTCTACGCAAGTGGACTATTTATAGAAAGATCGAATATATACCTCTAGTTTGATGAAAACTGTTTTACATTGTTTTCTTTTTAATACTTTCTGTTTGTTATTTATTTATTTTTTGAATGACTGTTAACTCTATCGTCACATTCCCTTTGTTGTTGAACAATTGTGGTTCAGTTGATTGAATTCTTATGCCATTTAACCATCATTAAGAACAAGAGAGGATGATCAATTCAATTTATAATGGATAATTTCTTTTCTTGTTTTTGCATGTTGAGAAATGATTTTTTTTTCTTCTTACATTATTAGGGTGGTAAACACCAAACTATAATTATAAATCATTAGGAAATGGTGGACTGGCAAGATAGTAGATTTAGCAACTCTACATAAGGCTATTGAAAAAATCTAGTGATTGTGTTGGATTAATTTCAGCTTAACAATTAGATCAACCTGTGCTTGATATATTTTATTTCCCGTAAATGTGAGGGCAAAGGACAATATACAGGACTGGCAAGATAGTAGATTTAGCAACTCTACATAGGGCTATTGAAAAAATCTAGTGTTTGTGTTGGATTAATTTCAACTTAATAATTAGATCAAACTGTGCTTGATATATTTTATTTCCGGTAAATGTGAGGGCAAAGGACAATATACACAATTCAAACACACAATCTCACAGTGGAAAGCAACAACCCCAACCACTATATTACGGGTAAGTGCACAATTGTGCTTGTTTTCTTAAATCGTTTACTTGATGAACTAAACATAAGAATACTCCTAATTCATCTTATTTAGTCAAATGGTAGATTTTAACACACACACATACATACTCAAGGCACGAGTTTGAATTTATGTATGTAGGGTGTAGAATACTCCTAATTCATCTTATTTAGTAAAATGGTAGCTTTTAACACACACACACATACATACTCAAGGCACGAGTTTGAATCCCTCTGTATGTAGGATGTGGTACTTGAATATTTAGCACACCTTGGGATGACCAG